GTGAACAGTCCCGTACGTGGCTAAAGGGACTTTGCACATATGATTAAGGGAAGAATCTTGAAAAGAGATTACCTAGCTTGTGCTTGGAGCCTAATCACAGGGGCCCTAACAAGCTGGCAGAGACCAGACTACAGACGGCAAGGCGATGTGAAGACAAAGGCAGCAACTGAAGTAATGTGCTTTGAAAATGGAGGAAGGTACCCCAAGAGCCAGACAAAAAGCAAAGAAACAGATTCTCCCCTCAGAGCCTCCAGAAGATACCAGTCCTGCCACGACCTTGACTTCAGCCCCGTCAGAGGAATTTAGGACTTCAGACTTCCAGAACTGCAAGAGGGCAAATCTGTGTCTGCCCCAGCCACCACATCTGCAGCATTTGTTACAGCTCTAGTAGGAAACCAATATAATAGGAAACGTTATTTATCAAATCAAGATTCCATGAAGGAAATCTCACCGAGAGGTAGAAAGGGGCTTGTGTGGAGTCCCAGGAGCCTGCAGCAGAGACTGCACAAGAGCACAGGCAGGGAGATCAAGGAACTCAAACTCAGCAAACTGTCGCCCAGGCAGACCCAGGTCAGGAACGATGAGAGAACTGTGAGGGCTCCATCCCTCCACAGAAACCTCACAACAACGGGAAGCAACTAGCAGAATGAATTTTATCAGAACTCAGGAAGAGGCAAAGGTTGACAACCACCTACCACAGGACGGATACAGCAGGCAGCTGAAACCTGGGAGGAGAGACCCGTGTGGCTTTGACTCAGCCTCACAGGGGGCACTCGTCGACTAGGGCTGCCAGAGCAAAGAACGCAAGCTGGGTGGCTGACATAACAGAATGTTACAGTCACAGTTATGAGGCGAAAGTCCAAGGCTACAGTGTTGGCCCGGTGGTTCCTTCTGAGGGCTGTGCATGAAGGAGCTGGTCAAGGCCTCTCACATAGGCTTGCAGGCCACCATCTGCCCATGTCTCATCATCTTCCCCCTGTATGCAGCTCTGGGTCCAAATCTCCCTCTGACGAGGACACCAGTCACACTGTATTAGAGTCCACCCTAATGATCTCACTTCAACTTGATTACCTCGGTAAATACCCTATCTTCAAATAACGTCATAGGGGGTTAGGACTCCAACATATGAATTTTGGGGAGACACAATTCAACACATGACACTGGCTCGGCAACAGTCTTGGAAGATGAAATCCCACCTTCCTAATGTGCATTGCTGGTGCTGGAGAGAGAAGAACGGAGCTGGTTCTCAAACAAATGGGCTGGTCTGTTTTGACCTGTCTAGTGGAAACGTGAAAAGACTAATCCAAAATACTCATAACTCTTGCACATCACAGAAAGGACTATGGGAGGGCATTTACTAAAAACATTTAAAGGCAAATGAACCAGCTGCTGCCACCAGGGGCAAAAGATGACACTTGGGGCAAACAAGAGATATGCCAAAAAAGTCTGGCAAGAAAAGCTGGGGAGTGGAATAGCTTGAGACTGAAAAACTTCCGTATGTCCTGAAAACTTAGAAGATACACGTATCCAGGGCAAGATGCATGTTCAGAAAAGACCCCCAAAGCCCCAGGCTCTTACCTCTGATGGTCATCAGCTCTGCACCGGCAGGAAGTGAGGATAAGGGAAGAGTTGTCTACTGCCCAGCCCGTTGGTGGTAGTGGTGGTGATGGTATACTCCAACAAACCCAGACACCAGCAGCAAGGACTCAGAGATTTTTGGTTTTTTGGCCCCAGGGATTTAAGAAAATCTCTAGTTCACCATTGGGGGCACCTGGGTGGCTCAGTCGGTTAAGCAACCGACTTCAGCTCAGGTCATGATCTCATGGTTCGTGAATTCAAGCCCTGTATCAGGCTCCGAGCTGTCAGCTGTCAGCCTGCTTTGGATTGTGTCTCCCTCTCCCTCTGCCCCTCCCTTTCTCTCTCTCTCCTTCTCAAAAATAAATAAAAACATAAAAAAAAATTTTTTTAATCACTAGTTCACCATTGGCAAATGGAATGGATACTTCGGTAAAGAAATGCAACAAGTACGGTCTTTACAAAAAAGTCTTTCTTTACAGAAATTCATTACACAACAACAAAACTATACCCCACATAACAGTAACAAGCCTAAGGGAGAAAAAACAGTCTCTTCAACAAATGGTACTGGAACTGGATATCCACATGCAAATGAATGAAAGTGGACCCCTCCCTCACATTATACACAAAAAGTAACTCAAAACAGATCAAAGACCTAAATATAAGAGCTAAAAACTATAATACTCTGAGAAGAAAACAGGAGTGAATCTTTATGATCTTAGATTTGACAACAGATTCTTCTACATGACATCAAAGGCAAATGCAACAAAGAAAAAGAAAAACCAAATTTTACCAAATTATAACCTTTTGTGAAATCAAAGGACATACTATCAAGAGAATGAAAAGACAACTAACAGAATGAGAAGAAATATTTGAAAATCATCTATCTGATAAAAGTCTACTACCTAAAATACTTATAGAAATGCAATTTAAAAAATGAACTAGGAATTTAAGGGGTGCCAGGGTGGCTCAGTCGGTTAAGCAACCGACTTCAGCTCAGGTCACGATCTCACAGGTTTGTGGGTTCCAGCCCCATATCAGACTTTGTGCTGACAATGCAGAGCCTGCGTCAGATTCTTTGTCTCTCCCTTTCTCTGCCCTTCCCCCACTCTCACATGCTCATTCTCTTTCTCTCTCAAAAATAAACATTTAAAAAATAATAATAAATTTTAAAAAATAAAAATAAAGGGTGTCAGGAATAATAATAATAAAAATGGACCAAGGATTTGAATAGACATACATGCAACGCAGATATCCAGGACCAAGGATTTGAATAGACATACATGCAAAGCAGATATCCAAATACCAAACAAGCAAATGAAAAGGTACTCATCAGTCATTAGAGAAAAGCAAATCAAAATCACAATGAGATATTACTTCATACCCACCAGGATGGCTAAAATAAAAAGACAACAAGCATTGTCAAGAAATGAACTCTCATACATCATTGGTGAAAATGTGAAACTGTGCAGCCATTGTGAAAAAGTCTGGCAGTTCCTTAGTAAGGTAAGAATACAACTAACATAGGATCCAGCATTTTCACTTCTGAGTAAATACCCAGAAGAACTAAAGACAAGTATTCAAGCAAAACTTGCACATGAAATGTTCAGAGCAGTGCTATTCACAATAGTGGAAAGGCCGAAACAGCCCAAATGTCCATAAACTGATAAGTAGATACACAAAATGTGATCCATCTATGCAATGGAATAGTCAGTAATAAAAAGGCATGAAGTCTTGGTAAAGTCAACTTGGTATTTCAACTATAAAATGAAGAAGGCTTGAGGACCTAATGTGTAACATGGTGACTACAGCTGACATCCCTGTACTATACAATTAAAACCTGCTGCTCCAGGGGCACCTGGGTGGCTCAGGCAGCCAAGCCTCCAACTTCAGCTCAGGTCATGATCTCAAGGCTGGTGGGTTCAAGACCAGTGTCAGGCTCTGTGCTGACAGCTCTCAGCCTGGAGCCTGCTTTGGATTCTGTGTCTCCCTCTCTCTCTGCCCCTCCCCTCCTCACACTGTGTTTGTCTCTCTCTCTCAAAAATAAATAAAGCATTAAAAAAAAGTTGCTATGCCAAAACATGAAGAAAATGTGAGGTAATGGATGTGTTTGCTGACTAGATGCAAGTCCTTTCACAAGGTATACAAATATCAAAATCATCATGATGTACACTTTAAATGCCTTACAGTTTTGTCAAATACATCTTAATAAAGTTAGATAAGAAAATGAAGTCTGTCACATCCTGCAATACGAACAAACCTTTAAAGCATTCTAAATGAAGGAAGACACACACAAAAATACATATCATGTGACTGTATTTATATAAAAGACCCCGAAGAGGCAAGTCTACAGCAACAGAACGTATTTTACTGGTTGGTAGGGACTGGGAATTTTAGAGTTACTTTAAGGACATGCAGTCCATGTATTCTACAGAAGCTCTAGGTTTTATCAAGGGAAAACAAAAACAAAACAAATCAATATCATCGGAAAGTGGTCTATGTGGGCTTCAGTAATGCAGTCTCTCAAAATCAACTTGGCTCTGCTCAGTTCTTTGTCTTTTGCTTCCACTGAAGGATAATTACAGACATTCTGGTTGCCACCAGAAGCTTATCATTTATATAAAAAGAAACAAAAGTTTTTCTATTCACCTCTTAATGCCAGAAAGTCTTTAGGCTTCAAAAGGAATCAGGTTGCTCTATGCATGATCAATGTAACGCAGTCTTTTTTTTTTTTTTGGTAATGACTAACAGGTCAGAAATATTAAGTTCGATAACCATCTAACTTCATTTGATGTGTGTGTGTGTGTGTGTATCTCCTCATCAACTATGCCTTATTGATCTGTTACTCCAATGCTGGTCTACAGACCTCAAATCACCTGCAATCTTGTTCAAAATGAAAATTCTTTGGCCCCATTCTATGGTCTAACAAACTTTCCAGTTTTGATCTGATGTGCAGTGAGGTTTGAGAACCATTGTGTCATGCTGTTTCCCTCAGGAAATTTTATCAATTTTATTTTATCAATTTTATCATTTTATCAATTCCTACTTTTGATAAAATTCCATTTTATCAATTCCTACTTTCCCATTTAAAATATGGGAGACATTGGGGCGCCTGGGTGGCTTAGTCGGTTAAGCATCCGACTTTCGCTTAGGTCATGATCTCACAGTTCGTGGGTTCGAGCCCCGTGTCAGGCTCTGTGCTGACTGCCAGCTCAGAGCCTGGAGCCTGTTTCAGAGTCTGTGACTCCCTCTCTCTCTGACCCTCCCTTGCTCATGCTGTCTGTCTCTCCTAGAAATAAATAAAAACATTGAAAAAATAAATAAAATAAAATAAAATAAAATAAAATAAAATAAAATATGGGAGACATTACCCTCATAAAATCCATAATAAAACAAAGCATAAAATGACTTCAACAACAACTCACATAGGATTTCTCCATAATTTGCTGGTCTTTCTTGGAAAAATGCTGAAATCTCTGAAAGTATAGCTGGGATAGAAAAACAGGAATGAAGTCATTAAAGGTACAGATTGCTTTGCAGTTCCTGGATTTGCCTTCTTAAAAAGCCACCAACATCACCAGGGTAAAATGCCTCTCTGTGGGACAATATCCTTTTCACCTTGGAGAAGGAGCAGGAAAGAACATAAGATAAAGCACCCACATGTAACCGTGACTTGGCCATCCAGAGCTTGGGTGTGCAATTTTTCACTGGGTGAATTTAACTCTTGTCTATTGATATTTTAATATTTTAAAATAATAGATGTGCCCCTTTATTCTGCTTCAAAGAAGTTTTAAAAATGAGAAAACTTGTTAAACAAATTACAGTATGCTAAATGAAGAAAACCTACACCTTCAGCAAAGGTTGTATAATAAAAGTTGTCACATGTGTATTCCTTGTTTACTCCCCAAATTAGAGAACGCAACCAAAGCTACGGAAAAAAAAAGGAATGGAGGCACTTTAAGAGTACTTTTTGTTTTTCTAAAATATATGTATTCTGAAATGTTTGTCTTTTAAGAAATGTGTTTTCACAGTGATGATGTGGTTAGCAATGGCCTGGGTGTGGGGAGATTCAATATCTACTTTGGGCTCTGCCCCTAACACAAAACCAGAGAAATTCACTTATACCCTCAGCACCAATTTTTCCTCACTTTTCAAGAAAAGAAATTCTTTTCCTACTGCCATCCTATAAAGAGCTCATCAGCACATCTTTAAATGCCAGATTCATTATGTGAAAGACAGCTTAGAATCTGGGAAGAGTGAGTGAAAAATAAGGAGAGTGGGGGGTGAGCTGGGAATGGTGAGACAAAACGGACTCCGATCTAGTTTTAAGGCCCCTTCTCGCATATCCTTGGAGCGCCTCCAGTGAAGTTGTATTTCCTGTGTACCCTAACTGTCCTTCACTAGTTCAGCCCAGATGCTTCTCTTCTGAAACCTGGTCTGGACTTCCCTTCACAGGCAGCCCTGAAGGCTTCTGAAGGTGGCAACATTCTCAAATCTCACTCATTCTGAACAGGCTGTGCATATCTGGAGTCTGCATCTCTCAGAACTACACTGCCTCTGCTCAAAACTCAAGTAGTGGGGTGGTTCTCTCCAGGTAAGACACTCTTCCTAGAGATTCCACCTTATTTGACAAGAGGTGCTTCATTCTAAGATAGATGAGAAATGCGCCTAAGGTGCAAATTCATTTTAACGGGACTTGTCACCCAGCCCCACATTTCCACTGTTTGTTACTCCATAGAACCTCAATTCAGACCTTCAATAAACTCGTATCAAGGCTTCTGAGAACAGTTACAGACCTAACTCAGAAACAATTATGCTGTCTCTATCTGAGGCTCTGAAAACCTCTAGAAATCCCCGAAAGAGAACTGCTACATGGTAAGATTCAATCGTCCAAATTGTTTCTTCACATGCCAAATTACTTCTGCTAAGTGCTGTGCAGGATTAAATACTGGCTTTTACAACCAAGATAGTAAATTGCAAAGACCATGGCATTCGGAGAAACAACTAAAATTGTGTTCTAGTTTATCTGCTAGTGTTGTGACTTGGATATATAACTTTCCTCTCGTTCTCCATTTTCCAATTTGTTACAGCAGGGAGAGCTATACCCACTTAGGTGAGCATAAAGTAACGAGTAAGAAGTCTGTTAACGACCGCTAATATTTACTGCTAGGCCTCTGAGTAACTCCAGAGGCAGGTGTTATGAATACCTTCAGTTTTACAGGCGTAAAATCTCAGGTAGGCTATTTTTCCCAGATGATTCTTTTATACCCAGTTCTGCCCCGCATCAAACCACTTGCTCAACTCGGGACCTCTCTCTCTCTCTCTCTCTCTCTCTCTCGGGACCTCTCTCTCTCTCTCTCTCGGCAACTGGGCGCACCCATCACGCACGCGCAACGGATGCTCTTCCCGCGGCCGCACAAGCCACGCCCCGGGGTCCACGCGAAATGTGCATCTTCCTCGGGGTTCCAGTCGCCGCGTCCCAGCATCCCAGGCCGGCCCCTCCTTCTAACACAAACTCTCGCGTCCCAGCGTCCCTCCGCCCGGCCGAGGCCTCCCCTCCCCAGTCTCTCGGGTAGAACAGCCAAGGGTCCCGCCGCGGTCCGTGGGCCTCTTCTCCACTCGGAACACCGCGGCTCCCTGGAGCCACTCAGGGATCCTCTGGGAGCTCTCCAACCCTCTGGCCTCTCCAACCCTCCCACTTGGGCCGCACGAGGTCCCGCAGCGGCAAGCAGACCTGCAGGATCGTGGAGATTCCGGACTGTCTCTCACGGTAGGCCAGAGACTCTAGAAGGGCCTGCGAAGTTTTGCACATGCGCAGAAGAAGCCGCATAAGACCCGTTCCCATAACCACGCGGGGCGGGCTCACAAACTTCCGGACTCCGTTTCCCACAAGTCCGCTCGCCCAGGACCTAGAGAATTTTAGAAACGTTGATATTTCTTTTGTAATTAAGAGATTGTGGCATGGGATTGTCTCTTATGTACGCAGCCCTGTATTTTTTCAGTAGCTCAGAGAAATAGTCTTAAAACCTGTGTGCTGTGTGCCTTTGAACACCAAGCTACCAAAGGAGGCGAAAATATAAATCAATGTATATTAACATAAATGGGAAAATTACCTCGAATAATAGAAAGCTAAATGAAGTAAATACTAGGAAATTCTAGCAATGAAATAAAAAAATAATATTAAACAGTAGATAAAATAATAGCATTTCTCTCAACAGTGAGGAAGATAAGCAACTGGGCCCTTCATATATCACATAAAAATAAATCCAGACTTCGGTAAGGAGAAACGTATTTCAAAAACACTATTGCGATAGGAACAATGCTCTGACTTCAATCTGAAAGCATCTTAAGATTGAATAGAAAAAAGGGGCACTTGGCTGGCTCAGTTGGTGGAGCATGTGACTCTTGATCTCAGAGTTTTGAGTTCAAGCCAAATATTGGGTGTGGAAATTACTTAAATAAGGAAATAAACTTTAGAAAAAGGTTTTTCTTCTATAGGGAATATGAAAAAGGGTCAACAGAAAATTTTGAGAGGAAACTGGGGAAGTGAGTGGGGGAGACGAACAAAAAGCATGATGGGGTAGTCTGTCATAAAATGTTCCCACTGTGGTCAGCCAACCTTGGGATGAGCTATTCAGGGTGCATGCTCAGGCCTGCGGAAAAATGAAATTCAGGGGCTCATGAAGGGAAGAGGAGCCTAACCAAAGATTAGTCAAGCTAAGTCAGTGTAGACCTGACCTATAAGAAATTCGAACAGGTGTCCTTTACCCTAAAAAGGACTTGTGACTGATTTCTTTCACTTAGCATAATGTTTTTCAAAATTCATCCCATGTTTTAGCACTTTTTTTTTTTTTTACTAAATAATACTCCATTGGATATACCACATTTTGCTTACCCATTTATCAGTTGATGGCCATTTGAGTTGTTTCCATTTTGGCTATTATGAATAATGTTGCTGTGAACATTCATGTGTAAGTTTTGTGTGGATATATGTTTTCATTTCTCTTGGGTATTTACCTAGAAATTAAATTACTGATTCAGATGGTAACTGTATGTTTAATATTAGGAGGAACTGATAGCCTGTTTTCCAAAGGATTCACCATTTTTCATTTTCACCAGAGTGAATGATGGTTCCTATTTTTCCACATCTTTAATGCAGATTGTTTTTACCTGACATTTTTATTCTAGTCACTCTAGTTGGTGTTGAAGAGGTATGCACTGTAGTTTTGATTTGCATTTCCCTGATGAATAATCAAGGTAAACATCTTTTCATAAGTTTGTAAACCATTTGTTATCTTCTTTGGAGAGTTTTTATTCAGATCATTTGCTCATTTTTAATTGGGTTGAGTGTCTGACTTCAGCTCAGGTTTTCCTCATGGTTTGTGTGTTCAGGCCCCACATTAGGCTCACTACTGTCAATGAATGCAGAGCTTTGAATCTTCTGTCCTCTCTCTCTGCCCCTCCCCTGCTCATGCTTGCTCTCTCTCAAAAATAAATAAAACATTTAAAAAAATGGTTAAGATTGTAAATTTATGTCATATGATTTTTTACCATAATTTTTAAAGTTATACAAAAACAAGCTTTTATATGTAGCAGTCCCCCTACCATCTGCATTTCCTTTTCTGTGGTTTCAGTTACCTATGATGTATTATCAAAAGGCCAATGGTAACCTAAGGCTATGTAACAATGCTTATGACATTTACATCATTTCATCTCATCACGTGAGCATTTTATCATCTCACATCATCATAAGAAGAAGGCTAAGTACAGTACAATAGATTATTTTGAGAGAGACCACTTTCACATAACCGTTATAAGAGTATATTGCTAAAACTTTTGTTTTATTATTAGTTATTTTTATTAATCTCTTACTGTGTCTACTGTATAAATTAAACTTTATCATATGCATGTATAGGAAAAACTTTAGTATGACTAAGGTTTGGTACGATATGCAGTTTCCGGCATCCACAGAGGGTCTTGGAACATATCTCCATGAAGGAGGGTGGACCACTGTACCAGGAAAACAGAAGATTGTAGTAAACCCTAGGACAACCAATAAGGAAATAACTTAAAAGTTATTATGAAAAAAATCATTAAAGCAATTAAAATGCCACTTTAGAGAATATTCACTTAATGCAGAAGATAGTAAAGAAGTAGTAGATTAAAAATGAGATATTTATGGGTGCCTGGGTGGCTCAGTCGGTTAAACATCCGACTTTGGCTCAGGTCATGATCTCATGGTTCGTGGGTTCGAGCACCACATCGGGCTCTGTGCTGACAGTTCAAATCTAACTATATTATAATAACACCAAATGTAAGTGGATTAAACAATATAATCTAAAGGAAGTGTTTGTTAGATGGGAAAAAAAAGCAGTATCCTCCTATATGCTGTCTACAGGAAACACATTTTACATCTAGGATATAAATAGATTTAAAGTAAAAGCATGGAAAGGTTATATATAAACAGCAGCTGCAAAAAAGGAGAAGTGGCTATACTAACATCAGACAAAATAGACTTTTAAGCAAAAAGTGTTACTAGACATAAAAAGGGGCATGTTAAGCGTCAATCCATCAGGAAAATATAACAATTATAAACACATACACACCTAAAAATGAAGCTCCAAAACAAATGAAGCAAAAACTGCAAGGTTTGAAGGGAGACATAGACAACTCAAAATACTAGTCAGAGGCTAGTATTCAATTCCTCACTTCCAAGAAGATACAACAACTAGACAGAAGATTAACAACAATAAAGAAGATGAACAGCACCACAAACCAACTACACCTAAGAGATATCTATAGAAAACTCAATCCGGGGCGCCTGGGTGGCTTAGTCGGTTAAGCGTCCGACTTTCGCTTAGGTCATGATCTCGCGGTTCGCGGGTTCGGGCCCCGCGTCGTGCTCTGTGCTTACTGCCAGCTCAGAACCTAGAGCCTATTTCAGAGTCTGTATCTCCCTCTCTCTCTGACCCTCCCCTGCTCACGCTGTCTCTCTCTCCTAGAAATAAATAAATAAATAAAAATTAAAAAAAAAAAAAAAAGAAAACTCCATCCAACAACACCAGCATACACATTCTTCTCCACATAGAGGTTCACATAGAACATTCTTCAAGATAGACCATAAGCTAGGCCATAAACAAACCTAAGGAAATTTGAAATGATAGAAATAATACAGAGTATGTTCTCAAATCACAATGGAATGGAAACGTAAATCAATAACAAAAGGAAATTTGGGAAACTTATAAATATGTAGAAACTAGACAACATGCTCCTAATAACAAATGGTCCAAATAAAAAAATAAGAATTTATATCATACCTTGAGATAAAAGAAATTGAAGACACAACATAGCAAAATATATAGGATGCAGTTAAAGCAAGACTTAGTGAGGAATTTATAGCTGCATGTGCCTATATTTAAAATAAGAAAGACCTCAAATCAATAAACCAAACTTCCACATTAAGGCCTTAAGAAGAGAAAGTAAAATAAACTTGAAGCAAGCAGTAAGAGTTAATAACAAAAGATTAGATTACAAATTAATAAAATAGAGACCAGAACAATACTGGAGAAAATCAATGTAACCAAAAGTAGGTGCTTTGAAAAGATTAAAAAAAAATTGGCAAACATTTTTTGCCATCTCATTTGGCAGACAGATGAGAGGGGAGTGGATAGAGGAGAGAGTGGTACTCAAAGCACTAGAATCAGAAATGAAAGAGTGTTGGGGCGCCTGGGTGGTGCAGTCGGTTAAGCGTCCGACTTCGGCTCAGGTCATGATCACACAATTCGTGGATTCAAACCCCACATCGTGCTCTGTGCTGAAGGCTAGCTCAGAGCCTGGAGCCTGCTTCAGATTCTGTGTCTCCCTTTCTCTCTGACCCTCCCCTGCTCACGCTGTTTCTCTCTCTCTCTCTCAGAAATAAATACAACTTTAAAAAGAAAGAAAGAAAGAAAGAAAGAAAGAAAAGAGTGGACTTTACTACCCACCTTACAGAAACAAACAAAAAAAAAGATGATAAGAAATAATATGAGTAATTACATGCCAATAAGTTAGATACCTTAGAATGAATGGGAAAATTCCTAGAAAGACACAAAGGACCCAAGGGACTGAAAAAGAAATGGACATCTGAGTAGACCTACAACATGTAAAGTCACAAAGTCACTAATCAATAACTACCAGCAAGAAAAGCCTAGGCCTAGAGGGCTCACAAGTAAATTCTACCAAACATTTAAAGAAGAATCAATACCAATTCTTTGCAAACACTTCCAAAAAATAGAAGAGGATGGTACTTTTTCTAACTCATTCTATGAGACCAGTATTATCCTATCAAAACCAAAGGCATGCCAAAAAATTAAAAAATAAAACAAGACCAAGTATCTTTTATTAATATGGGCAAAAGAATCTCCAGGAAAATTATAGCAAACTGGATCCTGCTACATACAAAAACATTATATACATCATGATGAAGGGAAATCTTCCTCAGGAATGCAAGGTTGGTTTAACTTTCAAAAATCAATTAATGTAATATACCATATAAAGAATATACAAAACAAAAAGCACATGATCATCTCAACAGACACAAAACAATGAACAAAACTCAATATCCTTTCGCAGTAAAAGAACTCAACAAATGAGGAATAAAAGGAAATTTCTTCAATCTGAGAAGGATCATCCAGGAAAATCTGCAGCTAATAACATACTCAATGATGAAGGACTAGATGCTTTTCCAACAAGATCAATTAAAATTCAAGGACGTCAGTTATTGTCATTTTTATTTAACTTTGT